GCAAAGGGGTCCAGGAGAGCTGGCTGTATTTTAAAGAATCCTTAATGCGGTTGCAGGAACAAACCATCCCGATGTGTAGAAAGAATAGTAAATATGGCAAGCAACCAGCTTGGCTTAACAGTGAAATCCTTGCTGACTTTAAACGCAAAAAAGAAGCTTACAACAAGTGGAAGATTGGACAAATGACCAGGGAGGAGTATAAAAATATCGCTCAGGCATGCAAGAGTGAAATCAGGAAGGCCAAATTGCACTTGGAGTTGCAGCTAGCAAGAGATGTTAAGAGTAACAAGAAGGGTGTCTTCAGATATGTTAGCAACACGAAGAAAGTCAAGGAAAGTGTGGGCCCCTTACTGAATGAGGGAGGCAACCTAGTGACAGAGGATGTGGAAAAAGCTAATGTACTCAATGCTTTTTTTGCCTCTGTCTTCACAAACAAGGTCAGCTCCCAGACTGCTGGACTGGGCAGCACAGTATGGCCAGGAGGTGACCAGCCCTCTGTGGAGAAAGAAGTGGTTCGGGACTATTTAGAAAAACTGGATGAGCACAAATCCATGGGGCTGGATGCACTGCATCCGAGGGTGCTAAAGGAGTTGGCGGATGTGATTGCGGAGCCATTGGCCATCATCTTTGAAATCTCATGGTGATCGGGGGAGGTCCCGGATGACTGGAAAAAGGCTAATGTAGTGCCCATCTTTAAAAAAGGGAAGGAGGAGGATCCGGGCCCGGAACTACAGGCCAGTCAGCCTCACTCAGTCCCTGGAAAAATCATGGAGCAGGTCCTCAAGGAATCAATTATGAAACACTTTGAGGAGAGGAAAGTGATCAGGAACAGACAGCATAGATTCACCAAGAGGAAGTCATGCGTGACTAACCTAATTGCCTTCTATGATGAGATAACTGGCTCTGTGGATGAGGGGAAAGCAGTGGATGGGTTATTCCTTGACTTTAGCAAAGCTTTTGATATGGTCTCCCACAGTATTCTTGCCACCAAGTTAAAGAAGTATGAGCTGGATGAATGGACTGTAAGTTGATAGAAAGCTGGCTAGATTGTCGGGCTCAAAGGGTAGTGATCAATGGCTCCATGTCTAGTTGGCAGCCGGTTTCAAGCGGAGTGCCCCGAGGGTCGGTCCTGGGGCCAGTTTTGTTTAATATCTTTATTAATGATCTGGAGGATGGTGTGGACTGCACTCTCAGCAAGTTTGCAGATGACACTAAACTGGGAGGCGTGGTAGATACGCTGCAGGGTAGGGATCGGATACAGAGGGACCTAGACAAATTAGAGGATTGGGCCGAAAAAACCTGATGAGGTTCAACAAGGACAAGTGCAGAGTCCTGCACTTAGGACGGAAGAATCCCATGCACTGCTACAGACTAGGGACCGAGTGGCTAGGTAGCAGTTCTGCAGAAAAGGACCTAGGGGTCACAGTGGACGAGAAGCTGGATATGAGTTAACAGTGTGCTCTTGTTGCCAAGAGGCTAACAGCATTTTGGGCTGTATAAGTAGGGGCATTGCCAGCAGATCGAGGAACGTGATCCTTCCCCTTTATTCGACATTGGTGAGGCTTCATCTGGAGTACTGTGTCCAGTTTTGGGCCCCTCACTACAAGAAGGATCTGGAAATATTGGAAAGAGTCCAGCGGAGGGCAACAAAAATGATTAGGGGTCTGGAGCACGACTTATGAAGAGAGGCTGAGGGAACTGGGATTGTTTAGTCTTCAGAAGAGAAAAATGAGGGGGGCTTTGATAGCTGCTTTCAACTACCTGAAGGGGGGTTCCCAAAGAGGATGGAGCTCGGCTGTTCTCAGTGGTGGCAGATGACAGAAGAAGGAGCAATGGTCTCAAGTTGCAATGGGGGAGGTCTAGGTTGGATATTAGGAAACACTATTTCACTAGGAGGGTGGTGAAGCACTGGAATGCATTACCTAGGGAGGTGGTGGAATCTCCTTCCTTGGAGGTTTTTAAGGCCCGGCTTGACAAAGCCCTGGCTGGGGTGATTTAGTTGCGAATTGGTCCTGCTTTGAGCAGGGGGTTGAACTAGATGACCTTCTGAGGTCCCTTCCAACCCTGATATTCTATGATTCTAAGGTAAAACCCCACACAACCTTAACTCTGCCCCAACACACCAGTAACACAAATATTGGCACTCTGCCTTTCCTCTAATAGACAGGTGCTATCTGCACTTACCCTATGCTCAAACATGAGCCTACTCCCTTAACAGAATATCACACTTGTGAAATTTAACAACTGCTTCATGCCCTTTTACAATCCCTTGACACTTGCACACAGGATATTTCCCAAACCTGGACTTTCTCCTACCCATCATTAAATCCACACACAGCTGCTCTCACATACCATCTCACCACTGACAATGCCCATGTCAAGAAGTTTCCACTGCCCTGCTACAACCTACAAAATGCTGTACTGAGTGGATGCTGAATGGATGCAGACTGGAACCCGCATGTCTTTCTTCTGAAAACCCACATGGGGGTACTCAGCCGCAAATCTCCTCATATCACAATCACAGCTCTTCCAAACTGTCCCAGCTCATTCCTCCCCCATTAAATACAGCTACACCTAATGCTTAGAGTGTATGCAGATGATTTCCAGTGGCTATTGCCAGCTTCACAGGGCTGAGTTAAGGCTGTATTTCCTGGTTTGAGTTTTGCTGAACTTGAAGTTCTGGAAAGGCCTGAGCTACCACCAGACAACTGTAACTCTATGTTAACAAAGGTTTGTGCCATTTAATATGCCTGTATTTAATAAGCCTATATCATAATACAAATGCACAAGGAGACCGAATTAAGGGACAGCTGACATTTGTTAACTTTGGAGTGCTTGATTTTTCAACCTTAAAAGTTCTTTTACCAAATTTTACGGAACAGTTATTATATACATAACACCCAGGAGACCACAATCAGGAATAGGCCCCTATATAAAAGCCTCAGAGACACTCCTTGTCCTGAAAAGCTTAGTCCAAACAGATACTGATAAAAGTCCCCAACCATGCCCCTCTCACCTGGCCAGGGCGAGATTGTTGCTCTGTTGATCACCTCCGAGGATTTGGACTTGCAATAGTCAGACTGCAGCAGGGTATTGAACAGTGTGGATTTGCCGGAGTTGGTAGCTCCTACGAGATACACATCGCCATTGCACTTCCAGGAGTGCTGCAGTTTGGAGATCAGCTCCTCCACTCCATAGCCTGTCTTGGCACTGATCAGGTGCACATCCACCAAGTTCTGGCTCGCAGTCCTGCCAACCTGGCCCCCCGTGCCCTGGACTGCAGGGAGGATGCCCACACGGGCACAGCTCCTCAGCAGCTCTTTTCGAAAGCGCTTCAGATAGTCTGGAGAATCCCCAGGCAACAGGTCCACTTTGTTGCCCACCACCAGGATGTTGGACCCTGCTGGCACCAGCTGAGGCAGGTCCTGTAGCACTGAGTCGGGCAGGTCCAGCATGTCCACCATGTATAGCACCAGGGGGCGGCGTCCATGGCGTGGGGGGCTGCGCAGGGCAGCACTCACCAGACTGCGGTATTGCTCCCGGGACACTTGCATGTGCAGCGCCTGCTGGTGATGGACCAGGAGCCAGCAGCGCTGACACACCGCCCCTTGCAGGGCCCGGTGCGCCTCTGACCTCCCCAGGGCCCCCTGCACCCTCAATCCTTCTGAGCCCCCCAAGACTCCCTGCACCCCCAATCCTTCCGAGCCCCCCAAGACTCCCTGCACCCCCGAATCCTTCCGAGCCCTCCCAGGGCCTCCTGTGCCCCCTCGCACCCCCAATCCTTCCGAGCCCCCCAGGACTCCCTGAACCCCCAATCCTTCTGAGCCTCCCAGGGCCCCCTGCACTCCCAATCCTTCCGAGCTCCCCAAGGCCCCCTGCACCCCCAATCCTTCCGAGCCTCCCAGGGCCTCCTGTGCCCCCATCCTCCCCAGGGCCCCCTGCACCCCCAATCCTTCCGAGACCCCCAAGGCCCCCTGCCCCTCCGAGCCCCCCGGCTGCCCGCCCATCAGGCGGCGGTACTTCTCGCTGGGCAGGTAGCCGGGCACGGCGGGGTCCCGGCAGTGCAGCTCCGCCCCGCAGCCCGAGCAGCTCACCCCGCTGGGCGGCACCGACGGGTCCGGCCGCCCCGTCACCCGGTGCTGCCGCTTCTCCCGCGGCCTCCTCTCCGGGCGGCTCGGGGCGGCGGGCGGCTCCCCGGCCGGCGCCGGGCCCGGCTCGGGCACGTACTCGGGGAAGACGAACTGCTCCTCCTCGCTGTCCGGCCCCGGGGCCGCAGGGCGCTGCGGGGCGGACGGGCGGCTCCCGCCGGGGCCGGGTGGAGAGGCCGCCCGGGCTCGCCGGCCGCAGGGCAGC